CCCCAAAACCCCAAAACCCCAAAACCCCGATTGCTAATTAAATGATGAATTTGAGTTTAAATTGATTTAAATGATTAAGATAAAATTGGGTAGTTGAATATAATAATACCTGAATGATTCAGGATATTTTCTTACTCTATTATAAAGCAAACACTAATCAGTTAATCTTTTTATTTCTGTGCAAGTTAAGAATGTCCAGGTCTTAGTCATCTGCAATAGTTTAGGGATCCATTATAACCAATGAGTGATCAATTCTTTTTCTTTAGATCTACCTTGAAGAATCTGAGGCTTCTTCAAGAATCTTTTTGCCGATTTCGAATAGAGATCTCAATGTTTGATGGTCTATCTCACATTCATGCCAGTGAAAAGTGTCATCAAAAAGTAACTCCTTTGGTGGAGGTTGAAAGAATTATGTTGATGTAATAAGTCCTGTCAATAAACCACCGAATACTCCTAACCCGATAGAGAGTCCTAAAGCAGCTAGCTAATAACCTGCTTACTATGAAGCAGTTCTATATGCCTCATTATCAAATAAAAAGATATTTCCATAATTAGCACCAAAGTTATCTCTGGCTCTTGAAGCAACAATAGCTGAAACTATACCTCCAACTATTCCTGGCATTGCATGAAGGTTAAGAATACCGCAAGTATCATGAACTAATTGCTTTCTTCTTAACAGAGGCTGGATTATTCCAAATCCGAGAGAAGCTACTGTTCCTGCTCCAATACCAACAAGCATCGAGCCAAAAGGTAAAACAATAATATTTGAGTTGCATCCCATAGCGACTCCTCCTGCTAAAGACGCATTAAGTATAATCTCCATGTCTAATTTTCCATTCTTTAAAATCTTAGACCAGACAATAGCAGATATAACACTAGTTGATATAGAGAGATATGTGTTAATTACAGCTCTTTATTAACTAGATCCGATTAGTTCAGCAGCATTAAATGATGGCCAATAAACAAACAAGAAAAGAGTGCCAGTCATTGAGATGATATCTGATAAGTAATTACCGCAATCTAGCTTTCTCTCATCTTTACATGCATTTCTAACATGGTAGAAAAACTAGCAAGCTAGACCGAAGAATGCTCCGAATACATGAATAGTCATAGTACCTCCAATATCTTCAGCTTTGAATATGTTGAGGATAATTGCTCGATTTAGTGCGTAAAGTATAACTTCAATTGATGCTATACCAAATAATTGAAAGAGGCTGCATTTGCCAAGGATAGCTCCAAAAGTTATCAGAACCGCTGCTGCCCCGTAATCACCATTCAATAAGGTTTAAATACTTAAATTGAGTTTTTCAAAGGAATGGTTCTAGTTATCATAATATTTGGAGACTTGCTCCCAAAAGTGGTTCCATAAAATTGTTATTTAGATAGCCCAGCATGCAATGAGGTAGTTATACCCTATTGAAGACCAGTTGTGAGATTTGAGAAATACCATAAGGAATCCGAATCCGATAAAGATCATAATATGGACATCCTAGAACATGGCGTAAATATCAGCCATTTATCTTGGACTTGAATTAGTCGCACTATCAGCAGAACCTTTAGGATCAGATCCCTTGCCATAAATTGTGAAAAGACCGAAAAAAAGAATAGTCACGAATTATCCTAAAATGAAAAAGATTTATGCTCTCCCGTAATTTAGCATTATTATTTTATACGATTCACAAATAAATTTAATTTTATTTACTTCCAAATTATACCTATAATCTAAAGAGGGGTTTTGGGGTTTTGGGGTTTTGGGG